ATCTCCCCGGCCCCATTAATTGATTTTTTTATGCTAGGGATCGAATCTGTTTTCTTGCATGATTAGCATGGGCTGCACCATTGAGCTATAGACTCCCATCTCAGATCATTTTAAATTTCCACCAAGGATGCATGAGAATTGTAATTTTTTTACATCCTTCATAATGCTTGTCATTTTTCCTGTTTTTGTTTCTCAACTCTAGCAACTCTCACAGGCCTGGCAAACACTCTACTACTGTCACAATCCCTGAGACCTATCGTGATCCTTGGGTGTGACAGGGCATCTCGCTTTTTTTTTTAATGGTGGCAAAATATGCAAATCATAAAAAGTACCATTTTTATAGTTATTAGGTATACAATTGAGTGGCATTACATACATTCACATTTTTGTGTAACTAAAAACCTTTTTTTATTTTCCCAAATTGAATTGCAGTGCCTCTTAAATAGTAACTTCCAATTGTCCCTTGCCCCAAAGCTCTGGTAACCATCTTTTTTCTTTTTTTTTTTTTTTTTTGGTGGAACCGGGGATTGAACTCAGGCCCTTGCTCTTGCCAGGGAAACACTTATTCTACTGAGCCATCTCCCCAGCCCCCCACCATTCTTTCTCATCTCTGAATTTCACTGCTTTAAGTACCTCATGTAAGTAGAATCATGTAGTATTTATCTTTTTGTGTTAGGTTTCATTTAGCATAATGTCTTTGAGGTTTATTTATATTACTGTAGCATATGTCAGAATTTTGTAGGATCTTGTGCTTGCTCTGACACCAAGCTACATTGTCAGCCTTTTTTTTTTTTTTTTTTAATGTATTTAGTACAGGGTCTACAGGGTCTTACTACATAGACTGAACTCTGACTTCTATTGATCCTCCAGTTTTCAGCCTCCCAAAAGCTGAGATTATAGGCATGTGCTACCATGCCCAGTCTCAGTGCCCTGGGGGGTGGGGCCAGCACAGCATGCCGGTAATTGAACCCTTGTCCCTGCTCCCTGCGTCTGCCTAAGCAGGTGCCTTAATCCACTGAGCTATCTGGCCCATCCTCTCAACCCTTTTTAAATTTTTGAGACATGGGTATCATATAAGATACCTAGGCTGGCTTCAAACTTGGTGACACTTCCATTTCAGCTTGCCATGTAGTTGGGATTATAAGTATACCCTACCACATCCATCAGAATATAAATATTTTTTACCATTGAGTAATATTCCATTCATGTGTATATCACATTTTGTGTACCCATTTGTTTATTCATGGATATTTGAGTTATTTCTACATTTTTGCTATGCTATGAATGTTGGTGTACAAATACTGTTTGAGTCTGTTTTCTATCTTCTGTTTTGAGTCCTTGTTTTCAATTCTTTTGGGTAGGATTGATGGATCATATAGTATTCCATCTTTAACTTTTGGAGGAGCTGCCATACTGTTTCCACAGTGATGGGGTCATTTTGCATACCTACCAGCAGTGTATATAGATTCTAATTTCTCCACACTTAACCAACTCTTTTTTAAAGATAGACTTTTGCTGTATAGTCCAGGTTGGCTGGGCTCATGATCTTCCTGCTTCCATCTCCCAAGTGATGGAATTACAGGCATGTGCTACCATGCCCAACTACCTTTTTAAAATAATAATCATCCTAACAGGTGTCTTCTTTTTGTATGCATTTATAATTATTAGTTTCCTCTTAGTACTTCTTTTACTGTATCTCCTAATCAAAGTTTGTTTGTTTTTTGTGGTACTGGGGATTGAACTTGTGCTTGCCAGGCAAGTATTTATTCTACTGAGCTATCTCTTCGGCCCCTAATCAAAGTATTTTTAAATTTCCTTTGTGATTTTTTTTTCCTTTGACTCATTGGTTGTTTAAGAATGTGTTACTTAATTTCCTTTTATGGCTTATGACCTCTTCCTGACTCTGATACTCCTGTCTCTGCCATTTTTTTAAAAAAATTATTTTCAAGTGGGGCCAGGGAGATGGCTCAGTAGAATAAGCGCTTGCCTGGCAAGCCCAAGTGTCTGAGTTCAATCCCTGGTTCCTCCAAAAAAAAAAAAAAAAAAAATTAATTATTTTCAAGTATTGAGGTTCAAATCTAGGCCCCTTACACTAAGCTACTTCCTCAGATCTTTTTATTTTTTGACAGTGTCACACAAAATTGCCCAAACTTATGATCCTCTTGCTTTTTTTTTTTTTTTTTTTTTTGTGGAACCAGGGATTGAACTCAGGCACTGTGCTTGCCAGGCAAGCGCTTATTGTACTGAGCTATCTCCCTAGCCCTGATCCTCCTGCTTGAGCCTCTTAGAGTTCTGTCATTACAGGTACACATCACTGTAATCCTGGCCCCTATCTCACTCTTATAAGGACCCTTGTGATAATCCCTCTTAGGAGTTGGAGTGTAGCTCAGTGGTCCAGCAGTACTTATTGTGCTCCAAGCCCTGCTGTTCAATCCTCAGCACTGCAAAATAGTAACAAAAACATAGACACGAAAGTGAACAACAAAACACTCCTAATTGCAAAATTCCTTACCGTACAACATATTCACAGGTTTGAGATACTAGAATGTGGACTTTTTTGGTGGTGATAGTAACATTATTCTTCCTATAGTTTTCTTTCCAGAACTCACATTTGTACATGTGCTAGACCTTCTCAGATGATGATGATGATGATGCTGCACTTGCCAGGCAAGCGCTGTGCCACTGAGCTATATCCCCAGCAATTTTTCTATGTCTCCTATTGACTCTATGTTTCATCTTCTTAATTCTTAATATTTCATTTGACCTGCCCACTCTGTCTCAAAAAACAAAACAAAACAAAACAAAACAAAACAAAACAAAAAAAGAATTTGTGGGCTGAGGAGATAGCTCAGTGGCATAAGTCCCTGCCTGGCAAGTGCAGGGTCCTTAGTTTGATCCCAGGTACCAAAAAAACCAAATAATATAATTTGTGACTTTGTTTTTGCTTTTCTTTTTCTGAGCTTAAACTGCCTGACCTTGTTGGATTCTTCTTAAAATTTTGCAGTGTGACCATTTAGTTGCTGATTCTTTACTGATATTTCAGACTTGGTTTTTATGTTTTAGCATATGTGTTTGGGCTGTAATTGACCTGAGGGCTTTGTGGACATCTACTTCTGGTTTATGTTCTTTTCCCTGTGTGCTGGTTTACATTTTAATTTTTTTCTATTGAAGTATAATATAGCTATAGAAAAATACAAGTGACCTGCAGAATTTTCATAAACAAGTATATCCATGTAGTCAGAATTCAGATAAAGAGGATATGGGACTGAGGAATAGTTATTTCAGTGGTAGAGTACTTGACTAGCATGCAAGAGGCCCTGGATTTGAGCCCCAGCACTGCAGGAAGGAAGGAGGAAGAGAAGAGGAAAGGCAGCAAAGAAGGTACTGTCAGGTCTTGAAACCTCTATAGACACTCTTCTGATGACCCCATTACTGTCTCTTTACTCCTCTCTAAAAAGGTAACCAACATCTTTTTTTTGAGACAGGGTCTCACTATGTAGCTCAGGCTGGCCTTGAGCTTATGTTGTAGCCCAGGCTGGTCTCATACTTGCTCCTGCCTCAGCCTCCTGAGTGCTGGGACCACAGGCCTGCTCCACCTCACCCAGCTCATTAACCCACTATCTTTGAGAGCAGAGATGAATTTTATGTACATTTTTCATTTATGTAAATGGAATCATACAGAATATAATTTTGTGTCTGACTTATAAAATTCCTCAGTGTTAGGATTTTGTGGTTCATCCATAATAGTGTTCCTGTCCAGGCATGGTGGTGCATGCTTGTAATCCCAGCACTTAGGAGGCTGAGGCAGGAGGATCGCTGTGAATTGAAGGCCAGCCTAGACTACATAATGAGTTCAAGGCTGGCATAAACTACTACACCATAGCAAGACTCTGTCTCACAACAAACAGAAACAAAAAGCATAATAGGGTTCCCTTTTTTTTTTTTTTTTTTTTGCGGTACTGGGGATTGAACACAGGACCTTGTGCTTGCCAGGCAAGCACTTATTCTACTGAGCTATCTCCCCAGCCCTCCAATTTGATTTATATATTCTCTTTGCTTTGCAATTTTCCACCATGTCTGGTTAGCCATGATTCTAGGTTGTACCTGATAATTAAAAATAAATTTATATGAAACATTTGAGTCTAAGAGGTGATACATTCCAGAGATGACTGTTTCTCTCTAGTCCCTGGAAATTGAAAAGTCTATTAGTAGAAGAATATTTAAAAAAAAAAAAAATTGTTGGGGCTGGGGAGATAGCTCAGTGGAATAAGCGCTTCCCTGGCAAGCTCAAGGACCTGAGTTCGATCCCCGGTTCCACCAAAAAAAAAAAAAAAAAATGTTTTTTGTAGTACCAGGGATTGAACCCAAGGCCATCATATTAAGCTTCATCCACTGCTGGGCTATGTTTTGCTTTTACCAGTACTTACCCTTATCTTGAAAGTATAGTCTTTGGAATCGTATCTTAAAGCGGGGGTATTATCAGAGCCCTTATTTCTGAGGGACCCTGGATTTTGACTGCCACCTGACTCTGGATCAAAGTCCAAAAAGTTGGCAGAACAGATTCTGGCTAAAACTATAGATAGGGCTAGTTGGTCTGAGTGCTGAATATTAGTCAGGCCTTGTGGGAGGTGCCATAACTGCTTGTGGTGTTGCCTTACCCTGCGCGCAGATACTGGGTTGAGGATGAACAGGGTCCTAAGCCACAAGGTTTACAACATTTTTCTTGTTTTCATTTTAGCCTCTTTCAGTGGTTTGAGACAGCACCAAGTCGGACCTGCCCACAATGCCGAATCCAGGTGAGAGTATTTTTTTCTTTTTTTGTGGAACCGGAGATTGAACTCAGCCCCTCAATACTCTCACCTGGGGCCAGGGAGATGGCTAAGTAGAATAAATGCTTCCCTGGCAAGCGCAAGGGTCTGAGTTCAATCCCCGGTTCCACCAAAAATTTAAAAAAAAAATAAATAAATAAATAAATAAAAGCACAAATGTGGAATGATCTCTGAAACTGAACAGTATATCTGACCCTTTTTGCCTTCCTTGTTTGAGATAATTTGAGCCTCACCTGTACCACCAAGTTGCCTGGGATGTCTGCTTACACCCAGAGGTAGCTGGCAGCTAGGCTTACCTGGGCCAGTTTCCATCTGTACATATCTTGCCTCCATTCCTGCCTAGAAAATGCCCAAGCTCATAGAATGGAGGCATCTTTTGAGCACGTGTCATGTGTCTAGCAGTGTGACTTCAGCAACCACCAAACCAGCAGTTCCAGCTTGGGGAAATTATAGGGCTGAGGAGGGCTTCTGAGGCCCAACAATATACTTTGGAAAAGTTAGGCCTAGGAACAGTTCTACTCTGCATATTGGTAGGCAGTTGGACCCTTGTATACCCTTCCTTCTTGCCCAGGACCCTTTTAAGAAGTCACACTTTTATCTTGTTCTCCCATCCAGGTTGGTAAAAGAACCATTATCAATAAGCTCTTCTTTGACCTGGCCCAGGAGGAGGAGACTACCCTGGATGCAGAATTCTTAAAGGTACCCAGAATTGATCACTCTTGTTCTGCTGAATTCTAGAGCCCTCTGGGAGCTCACGTGCCACTCCCACACAGAGAGGGTGGAGTACGGAGATGGGGTTATGGAGGGAGGACTTGGTAGAGATTGCAGGGCAGAAACAAGGAGAGAGGAGGACAAGTGAAAATAAGATGCAGTTATCGAGGCTGGCCAAATAGCTCAGCGGATTAAAGTGACTGCAAGCAGGCTCCGGGGCCAGGGTTTGATCCCAGGCCTGCCCTGCCAGGTCCGCCTCTGGGGTGCACTGAGATGGCAATTGAGACTGGGCGTGGTGGTGCGTGCCTGTAATCCCAGCTCTTGGGAGACTGTAAACAGGCAGATCACTATGAGTCCAATCTAGTAGTGAGACATTGGATACCCTGTAGAGCCTTCCCTAAAATACAAAAAAAAATCGGAACCCAGGAAAAACCCACCCTGCAGGGAAGGATGAGTATAGGGTCCTTCCTGTGCATCTGTTTCCTTTCTAAAATTTAGGGGGTTTTTTTGTTTGTTTATTTTTTGTTTTTTAATGAGAGGGCTGAATTGGCAGAAAGCTTGAGGCAGTTGGATCAGGGTTCACAATAGATCCCTAGACTCAGAGCTAATTGCTGGGCATCAGTCAGATCAGAGTTCATTTAGCCATGGCCCCAGGTGTCCTGCTGTCCTTGCAATCTCACTGCTTTAGTGTTTTGTGTTTTGAGCCAGCATGTTTTTGTCCTAGTAACTGCTTCCAGTTTTAAGTGATGTTTTCCCTCTGAAGAAAGCAACAAAGGCAACTTCATTTCTTTTGAAACCAGGTCTGTGAGACAGGGAGGCAACATCATGAGTTGTTTGGGGCAGGAGCCTGGAAGACACGTCCTGGGGCGTGGAAGGGATGCAGTGGCGCAGCAGCCTTGGGATGGTGTGTGTTCTCAGGTAGATTCTGCATATCCTTTCCTACCCAGCACGTCTACTGCCCACAACTGTCCAGCCTGTACTCATCAGCTCAGCTCCAGAAGCCCCTGCTCTCAGAGTTATGGGGGAGAATTTAAGAGCAGGGGGCTTACCCAGCTACTAGGCCATAGTTTGGGGTCACATGTGAAATTCTGAGTTTCATATTGAGCTTAGGAGGGTGATTAGAGGAAAGTTTGCCTAGATTCTGTCCAGCTAGTTCTATGGACCCTTGGTCAAGTGTTTCACTTCTGCAAAACCTTAGTTTTCCTGGTTATGGAGTAGGTACCTCTCTTGCCTAGAGGAGTGAGTTCTCCGGACTGCCATGTGGGAGCTGTATTCATTTCTGCCCTAGCCTTTCAGTAGTGTGGCAGTGACTCTGGAACATATTCAAAGACTTGAGGGGCTTTTTGGCCCCTCACAACAGATTGGTCAGAACCTAATACATGTGCAGTTTCATCCAGGGCTACAGGATGCAAAGCACTGCCCTGCTTACCAATCCTAATTGGATCCTGGACCTAGAAGGTTTGTGGCACACAGAGCCAACTTACAGCTTAGAAAAAGGTACACTCTGAATTAAGGAGTGTGGCCCAAGTTCCTCAGTCATCCTAGTGAGTACAGCTGATGCCCAGAGAAGGTGAGGCTAGTATAGGCTAGAGAGGCAGTAAAAGCTTCCATTACTGGGACGGACTCACAGACCCTACTTCATTTACCTTTTTTTTTTTTTTTAATTTTATTTATTTGTGTGTGTGTGTGTGTGTGTGTGTGGCCAGCTCAGCCCACCAGGGGGCGGGGCTGGCTGGCATGTGGTGCTGGGGGACTGAACCACAGTCCCTATGCTTTGCTAAGCTTGTTCTAAGTAGGTGCTTTAGACCACTGAGCCATCCCACCAGCCCCATCATTTACCTTTTCCCTGTTGTACTCCTTTCCCTGTCCCAGGACCTTGCTGCTGAGATTAGTTTCCTCCATCTTATCTATGTCTGTATTATTTATTTTGTGGTACTAGGGCTTGAACCTAGAGCCCTTGCACTGAGCCACATTCCTATGCACTATCCTTTGTTTTGAAGTCACTAAGTTGCCCAAGGCCCAAACTTTTGATCTTCCTGCCTCAACCTTCCAGGGTGCCGAGATTATAAGTGGGTGTTACCATACCTGGCTTTCCCTTTTTTTTTTTTTTTTAAATGAATTTAGGACAGGGTCTCTCTACATAGATCAGACTCATAGTACTCCTCGTGTTTTTAGCCTCCCAAGTGCTGGGATTACAGGTGTGTGCCACCACACCCAGTCTCAATTGCTGTCTCAGCATGCCCTGGAGGCGGGGCTGGCACGGGATTGAATGCTGGCCTCTGTGCTCTGCCAAAGCAGATGCTTTAGTCCACTGAGCTTTCTGGCTGGCCCTTAACTATGTTTTTAAAAGGCATATAGAGATAAAACGATGCTTTTATGTTCATTATTAGCTTAGCTTGGACTTCATTGGGCTACATTCTTCCCTATAGTCTTATTGGTCATCCTAGAGCTTCTCACAGCATACAGGAGGCCTTATGGAGGCAGGTATGAGGCATCCTTGTCACTTACTGTTGGTATTGTCTTGCAGAATGAACTGGACAATGTAAGAGCCCAGCTTTTCCAGAAAGGTGAGTTAGCAAGACACAGGGCCTGCAGGAGCCCTTTGCTCGGATGCTAGGGAATGGGCTAAGGGCAAAGGCTGTCCCCACTTTGTATGTCTAAAAGTTATGCTACTTCTTATGACTGCCAGGAGAGGAGAGGATGTGACTGATGCTGTCTGCCTACACCAGGTGAGCCTCTGCTATGTTGGGCTTCTGGCCCAGGACCTAGGCTGAGAGAGGCTACTGGATAGACAAAGTATCTACAGGAAAAGATTTAGTTGCTGAGGAACATGCTTGAGTTCTACAATAATGATGGGAAGGAAAACAGTGAAAATTTCCCAAGTAGTTCAAGCAGCCAAAAGAGGGCTTGGTTCTGACTCTGGCTTCAGCTCCAAGTTGGCGCATGCCAGACAGAGAAGTAGGCCTCCCAGCATTGTGGCCAGAGCCTAATGCTACCTGGCTCAGAGATGAGGAGCTGGAACTCAGGTGCCAAGGTTTTCATGCTGATGGGCAGGTAGGCCTAATCTTTCATCCACTCACCCTGTTCCAGAGAAGGAGAAACGGGACAGCCAAGCCATCATCGACTGTCTACGGGGCACGCTGGAAGAACGCAATGCCACTGTGGGATCTCTGCAGAGGGCTTTAGACAAGGCTGAGATGCTCTGCAGCACACTCAAAGTAGGTTCTCTATTTTTCAGGCACTGAGTTGGTGGGGAAGTAGAGCCTTAGCTCTGGCCTACCATTATGGGCTTGTCTTCTGGTTCTGCCTCCATCAGTGCCTTGGTTTGTGTAGTCGTGAAGTGGAAGCAAATGGCTTCTTCCTCTGGCTCTCCTATCCTCTGCCATCTGACCTACAAGAAAAAATCATGTTGGCTGTGCTTAGAGAAGTGCATCCTTCACAACACATCACAGAGGGATGTTCAATTAAGACCTTAGTGAGGCTGGACCATGTTTCCAAAAGTGGCTCATACTCCACTGATGATGCCAGCCTGAAGAACCTTCCATTAGCACTCCAGTCTAGGCTGCTCTCTGGAGCAGGATCAAACAGAATCCCAGGGAAGAGCAGAGGCCTTTGAAGTTGCCTGTGCTGAGCTGACCATGCAGATCAAAGCCTGTAGAGCGAGCAGCCTAAACCCAGATGAATTTTGTATCGGCCTGGCTTGGTGAGCCTCTTGCTCTCTAAGGGGCATAAGGTGATTGATCTGAACCTACGATTGATATTCTGGCCTTGTAGGCAGGAGCAGTCCTTGCTGGATGCCATTTGAAAGGGAAAAGGAGCCATCTTTGTGAACAGACAAGGCCCCAGGATATTCATTCTCTGTTCCTGCTTGGGGGCTGGGCTGGATCACATGGCTTGGCCAGTGTAGGGAACTAACTTGTACCTGGCTGCAAAGCAGAAGTCTGTGATGGCATTCCCAGGTCAGAGATGGAGTCCTCCTGCTGAGGACATCCTGGCTAGCTGTTCCTGGCTCAGTTTACTATACTGGCACCTGTCTATGGGTCGGGTGGTTGCTGTTGAGGCCCGGGTTTGTCCTCTGCACTTCTTCAGCTACCTGTACAACATGCACCATGAGACCTAGCTCATGGAACCTTAGCAACCTACAGTGGCCCTGGCAGTGGACTATGCCTATGTAAGAAGAAGCAGGCACAGACATAAAGCAGCACCTGGCCTATAGCCTTAATTTGGCAAAAAGAGCACAGGCCTGAGTGGGGACCATATATTATCCAGGGATTTGGAAATATATAGTTATCAGCATTTTCAAAAGACAATACAGTAAGCACTAAAGCAGCATACTCCCACTGACTTCAGCCATAACTCCTGGTAACTTCCAAGCAATGTATATGGGTGTTTGCTCCTCAGAAGCAGATGACATACTTGGAGCAGCAGCAGGATGAGACTAAGCAAGCACGGGAGGAGGCCCGCCGACTCAGGAACAAGATGAAGACCATGGAACAGTGAGTGTGGAGCTGGTACCTGTATTGTGTCTTCCCTCTGATGGACCCCAGGTGGGCTGTTCACAGGACAGCATTAGGGAGTAGAGTGTTCAGGTCAGCCACATATAGGCAAAGGTTCCCTGCTTTGTTATGTGGACCCCTTTATTTTCTATGGGGGAGGGTGCTGCACTCCTTCCTCTCCCATTGCCTATACTCCAATATCTGTCTTTCCTGACAGATCTTTCCCTCCGGGAACCTCTCTACATGAAATCCTTGACCTTGAGGTCCCTGTCAGTGCCTCGTCTTTCTCAGCAGCATCCCTGGAGCTGTGCTCAGCTTTGCTGTGGAGCCTTTCCGTGGGCACACCCACTTGCTAAAGCATCCTAGCAGCTCAGGCTGTTGCTATAGCAATGGCAGCAAAGGGAAGCAGACTTAACTATCAGCCTCCAGATTTTAAATGCCGTGGGCCGGGTATGTTTTTCAGGATTGAGCACCTACTCCAGAGCCAGCGGCCTGAGGTAGAGGAAATGATTCGAGACATGGGTGTGGGACAGTCAGCGGTGGAACAGCTGGCTGTGTACTGTGTATCCCTCAAGAAGTACGTACTCTTCGCGCTCAGTGTGTGAAGGAGCTAGGCATGAGAGCCTCACCATGCCTCAGTTGCCTATCTCTTATAAAGCAGATTGAGTCAGGGAGTTAGCTGTGTAGCTACGCTCCCTTTGCTTGACTTCCTCTCAAACCAGATGTGTGAGCTAGAGCTAGTTTCTTGGCTTCTGACCCTCACTTTCCTTCATGGAGCTAGTAATAGGTATACCTCATAGGGTTGCTGCAAGAATTGCAGTGAAGCTAGGCCTGGTGGCACAGGCCTATAATCCCAACACTCTGGAGGCTGAGACGGAATCGCTGCAAATTCCAGGGCAGCTTGGGCTACATAGCGAGTTCAAAGCCAGCCTGAATTACTTAGTGGGACCCTGTCACAAAAAAAGCAAAAATGAAAACAAACACAAAAAGAATTGTAGTGAATTATAAGTGTTATTTCTATAGTTTACATAGCTCTCCAAGCCATAAGCCCCTTCATGGGTATCTGAGTTATTTACCCTTGGCACTGCTACTGACCTTGTCTGATTTAGATCAGAAACTGCTCACATTCTTATGGTGAGGGTACTAGGAAAAGGTGTGACCTGGCTGACAAGCAGAGGGTCCAAAATGCCTCTTGTAGGCACCAGGTGGTGTAGAGAGCCCTCTAGTGAGACGGGAGCTTCCTGCACAGCTTCTCAAGTTATCTATGTCTGCAGGCCAAGTAGGGCTCTGTGTAACCAGGTCCCATTGCATTCTGTGTGGGACCCTCCACAGTGCCACCTGGCCCTATGGGGCTCAAGCACAAAAAGAGGAACCAGGCTGAGCTGAGAAGGTGATGAGGCCTTGGCTGGGTCTGCCTGGCAAGGTGTCCTATTTTGACATCTCTTTTTATGGCTACTTTGCAGAGAGTATGAAAATCTGAAAGAGGCGAGGAAGGCCTCAGGGGAGCTGGCTGACAAACTACGAAAGGACTTGGTCCTCTCCAAAAATAAGGTACCTGCTCAAGGAGCAAAAGATGGAGAGGGAAAGATAGCTGTTTTGTTCACCTAGGTCTTCAGAACTGGCTCCATCAGGCTGGCGGGTGGCTGGTAGGTGCTAGGGACTGGTTACTTATTGGCTCTTGCCATTTGCCTTGTCCTTTGGGGGCATCAGATTATAGAGATAACCTCCCAGTGGTGCACACTCATGGTTCTTTCTGTTCTTCCTAGCTTCTGGTGCCTCTCAGCTGAATGGGGAGCACAGGCCCCAAATATGACAGCTCAGGCATGTAATGCGAGGCCTAGGAGCAATCTGTTTTCACTTCTGAGATGATGTAGCCACAAGATACAGTGTCCAGGGAGCATCTTGACTCCCAGGCAGCCCCATACATGCATTGCCAGATTGAGGCTTCACCCCTGATGTCTGGGGTCTCTCCCATACCGCTAATTTCTTATGCACTCTTAAGTTTCTCTGGCTATGAACTAGGTAGCAGTAGGCAGGGGGAAGAGCATATGGCCACTATTGGGTTTGTCCTTTACTCCCTATACTTTCTTTATTGGGGGTGGTTTGTTTTGTTTGAGACAGGATCTCACGGTGGAGTTTAGACTGGTCTTAAACTCGCTATGTAGCCTGAGCTGGCTTTAACTCATGGGTGGCAATCTTTCTTCCTCAGCCTCCCAATTGCTGGGATCACAGGCATGTACTACCACATCTAATTCTCCCTATACTTTCTTGTAGTTGCAAATGGTCTGCTCTGAACTGGATGAGACCAAGCTGGAGCTAAGGTCAGCTCAGAAGGACTTACAGAATGCTGACAAGGAAATCACGGTGAGGGGTGTTCTTGGCTTGATGAGTCTAAGGAGTAATTTATGTGCCTCTAAAAGTATGGGTTGGATAACTGGTGTGGTGGCACATGCCTGTAATCCTACGATTTTGGAGACTGAGGCAGGAGGCTTGGTACAAGTTTAAGGCCAAATGTATTAATTATTGAAACTGTCCTAGGGCTGGGGAGATGGTTCAGTGGAATAAGTGCTTCCCTGGCAAGTGCAAGAACCTGAGTTCAATCCTCGGTTCAGCCAAAAAAAAAAGAAAAAAAAAAAGAAACTGTCCTACTAATTGGTTTTGAAACTGTCTCATTACTATTTGTTTCTCAATAAAATTAATTTTAAAAAAAAGTTTAAGGCCAACTTGGGCTACATGGGGAGACCCTGTCTCAAAGAGAAAAAAGAAAAATGAGAGTAGGACTTGCCTTTTTCTGCCTGAAACTCTTTTAGTCCTGGTCAATGGTGGTGATTCTAAACTCCCAAAATCCTCCTGGGGTAAAGGGTGGGCCTAGGGTGTGCACCTTGATCAGTCTGGTCTGCAGCTTCTGCCTTTCCTTGCTGTATGCCTGCAGCTTGTGTTTGGTTTCAGATCTTGTTCTGTTCCCAGCACGTGTCTCACATGCTCCTTATTCTCTACAGTATGTCTGTGCTCATCCTGTCTTTCATTTTCCCTCCCCAAGAGCCTGAAAAAGAAGCTAATGATGTTACAGGAAACCTTGAACCTGCCACCAGTGGCCAGTGAGACCGTCAACCGCCTGGTTTTAGAGAGGTTTGTTGATCCTCTGGGGGGTGGTACAGGGATTACAGGCTAGGAGAGCTCATTGAGAAGGGTCTTTTCTGGCTTTGGTGGTACAGGTAGCCTAAGGTTTATGGACCTCCTCAGAGCTGGCCAAAATTCAGCTGAATATCAACTTTGAGACAAATTCTAGGCTCCAACAAGAAAAGGCCAGAGAACCAAGGAGCGGCTAAGGATGGGGCAGGAGCAAGTGTCTCAGGGTGTCCTGTTTATGGAGTGATTTTTCCTATGCTTCTGTTTGTCCCAAAACAACTCATTCTGAAATAGTTTCCCTGAGATCTCAGGACTTTAAAGCTGCCAGCAGAGGGAGCCCAAGATAGAGGGACTGTGTTCTCAGGAGTAGGCCTCCATTTCTCTTGGTGTTTCACAGAAAGTCTGGCTGAAGGTATCTCCTCACTTGTGGGAGGGCCCCAGCTTTAAAGAATACTTATCTCATTGATCCAATGCTTTATTTGAGCCACGTGTGTCTGTGTAAGAGAGCGATACTGGGGATTGAACCCAGGGTCTTCCCACTGAGCTACATTATTTATTTATTTATTTATTTATTTATTTATTTATTTATTTATTAGACAGGGTCTCACCATGTAGTTCAAGCCAGCCTTGAACTTTCTATAT